AGCTGAATCCGGCAACACCGATTCCCCCCGAACCCAAAATCAGAGGACAAGAGGGACGGGAGATCGAACGGCCCCCGAGCACAAGCAGTTGCGCACGACCGCCAGCTAGGTCCGGTCAAAATGGAGAACAAGCAAACTCGCCACCCCACACCGCCGCTATGTCAGAACCGGCCAACACCAATGGCCTGGACCTGCGTACCGACCTCCTCTCCAGCCTCACACCAGGGAACAGAGAAAAAACGGGAGCAAGAAAGCACCTCAGCCCCGACCACCTTACTGTTGGGTTTTGCTCTTTTGTCCCACATTGAAAGTGGGATGAGAGAGGAGGGGATTTTTCCCCTATATAAGAAGGTGCTACTTCTATGTAAAATCATCCCACAGAGTTATTGTGTTAACAATTAATCTCTGGCTAAAAATTCCTTAGGGTGAGAGTTAAGGTTAACGGATAGAAAATTATGTGGGGTACTTTTGGGTATAAGTGAGCGTAGAAAAATTGTGTAATTTTTTACATAGTGGATTTTCTACGGCCTTGTTGCCCTGGTGGTTTTTCCCTCTTCGTTAACAGAGGGTTTTCCACGTTAAACTTTGTGTTCTCCATTTTTATTATTTCCAGCGGATCTTGGGCGGAGTTTTCGGTGTGTTAGGAATTCCCAACAAGTGGTATCAGAGCGAGGTTAGCCTAGTTGGTATTCTGAGTATGCTCTGTGGTTGCAGTTTTGTCTGATCTTCCACATCAGAAAAGATACTAAAGAGGTTTGTTTGTGCGGTGGAGCCAGTGACGGGTGGAGCTTGTGTGCAGAGGAGTTTTTTGGGCAGTGGGGAATAATTACTGTGTAAGTAGGTTCTGTTTAGGAGACTGGTTTTTTAAGTGGGACCGTTGTGACCCCACCAGCCTTTCCTGGGAGCTTACTTAGAAGGGTAATTCTTTAGGGGGCACGTCGCTACCCTCCCTGAGAATTTATCTGATCAGTACTATTAAAGGTTGCTGCTCGGTTTTCTGCGAAGTTAGTGTTCACTGATTCACGAAGATGTCTGGAAATAAGATATCGACGAGATTTGATGTGGAGAAATTCGACGGAAAAATCAACTTTGGCTTGTGGCAAGTGCAAGTGAAGGACGTGCTGATTCAGTCGGGTTACACAAAGCTTTGAAGGGCTCGGAAATTCCCAAAGGCAGTGCTACCAGCAGCACTGAAGAAAAAGCTGGTGTGAGCAAATCTGGAATGAGCGATGAAGATAGGGAGGAACTGGATTTGAGAGCGGCGAGCGCGATACGACTGTGTCTGGCCAAGAATGTTCTTGCTAATGTTCATGGAATTTCGACGGCAAAAGCATTATGGGACAAGCTTGAGGAGTTGTATCAGGCTAAAGGCGTCTCAAATCGAGTGTATCTGAAGGAGCAGTTTCACACACTGCGAATGACTGAAGGTCAAAGCATCTCAGACCACTTAAGCGTTCTCAATGGAATCGTCTCGGAGCTGGAATCCATTGGAGTGAAGATTGATGATGAGGATCAGGCGTTGAGACTCATCTGGTCTCTTCCAACTTCTTATGAACACATGAAGCCGATCTTGATTCATGGGAAGGAGAAAATTATATTTTCTGAAGTCACTGGTAAATTTCTTGCTAAGAGAGAAAGTGGAGTTCTTATGGCATGTCGTAAGTGTCATGAAAGAGGACTTGTTACAATTAGGGGTCCACAGTTTACACACGGGCATTGGTTTGGCGGTGATGCATGGTGTGTGGTGGAAAAAGCGTGTCGAGGGCTGATGAACTTCTAGGAATGCCAAACGTGGAAGTTGCACCATAGATTTCAGCAAGGTTATTTCGACATGGGCCGAAGAAATGCTTGGATGCGAGTCCGAGTGGATATGTTTTTATGGTGGAGCATGATAGCGAAAGCTATGAAAAATTTCATCAAAGTGAATAGTGGCTGTCAGATGGGCCAAAATCGCAAGGTGGAGTTTGTTGGGTTTTGCTCTTTTGTCCCACATCGAAAGTGGGATGAGAGAGGAGGGGATTTTTCCCCTATATAAGAAGGTGCTACTTCTTATGTAAAATCATCCCACAGAATTATTGTGTTAACAATTAATCTCTGGTTAAAAATCCCTTAGGGTGAGAGTTAAGGTTAACGGATAAAAAATTATGTGGGGTACTTTTGGGTATAAGTGAGCGTAGAAAAATTGTGTAATTTTTTACATAGTGGATTTTCTACGGCCTTGTTGCCCTAGTGGTTTTTCCCTCTTCGTTAACAGAGGGTTTTCCACGTTAAACTTTGTGTTTTCCAGTTTTATTATTTCCAACGGATCTTGGGCGGAGTTTTCGGTGTGTTAGGAATTCCCAACACTTACTCCGCCAAAACGCCACGAACCACTGAAGCCGCTCCCAGCCCCCGACGACAAACTCCGCTCAGAACCACCATAGATCGGGACCTTGACAGACCGAGGCCAAAGATCGGATACGGAAAGACCCAATCTCCCAAACCCCTCCATTCATAGTGCCAGCGAGAGGTGTACAAACATGTATGAGAGACAAGGTGGAGGGCGACCCACCGGCTAATCCGGTCAGCCGCTGAGGAGGCGCTCATATTGCAGAAAAGGGGACGAAGGCGCGACGGCGATTTGGGAGAAAGTAGGGTTCGATTTTTTTTTTTACATGTTGGCTTGATTAGTTGGTTAGTTTATCGTTTTAACATGATACAAACTTGATGATTAACGAAGTAATTTGAAATATTTGTTTTTTGTATGGATATAAAAAAATAATATATTGAAGATATAATCTCGCAAGCAAAAGGGAATTTAAAGGGAAGATTTTTATTTTATTTATAATTATAGATATTAGCATATGGATTCTCATATATGTAGTGTATATATTATTTTAGTAACTTAGATTTCGCAAGATATTCTGTGATCTTATGTTGATTATATTTTCAAGGTAAGTGAACATATGGATGGGAAGATAATCGGCATATTTGGAAATAAGACGAAGGGAGAGATGAACCATGTTCAAGATCAAATATTCACTTGCCATGTTTTGAAGCTTATGCTTGGAAGGAAACACCTAGAAGGAAAAGGAGTAGCTACTTGAAGAAGCTACATATTCACGTCTTGAAGATCAATTGAAAGCTACTGAGAGTTTCAGAATTCACAAGTCATTCGAGCATTCAATTGAGATAGATTTATTTCAATAGTCAGTGCTTCCATTTTCTTACACCATCGAAGACCACGCAAATATGTAGGACGGTGCACAGGTTGACGGGCGGGATAGTGCGCATGGTAGCGCGAGCGCATGCGCAAGTCCGCACGACAGTGCTGGTATAGGTTAGCACACGCACAAAGCAAGTGGCCGCGCGCCAAGGGAACTCGCGAAGGCGCAAGGACACGCGCGCAAGGCGAAAATGTGGAATAAGCGCGGAAGTTGAGCGCAGGCCAGCCAGGACAAGGACGCGCACACGAGGCCGAGATTCTCGCAGACGGACTCAACGTGGGCGCACGCGTTGGGCCTATGATAAGATTAAGCCTGACGAGCCTGGTAGATTGCAGTGGGCCTAGTGCAACGCGCAACCAAGCACACGGATGAGTTTGCGAGCGGGACGCACGATCACACCGGCTGGTGGAGACTTGGAGCACAAGACTTCTAGAAGGTTTGAGAACCAAATTGGCGGAGATCCTTCTATAAGGGGATGGGTCGATTTACTTAGCATGTTAATTAGGAGTTTATTTAATTGTTCATAGATTGTTTAGGATTAGGATTCATTATTGAGTTGTTTAAAATATTCAGTTTCCTTAAAAGTATATACTAGATAGATATATTAGTTCCTTAGACTTAGAATTCTAGTTCTCTTAGGCCTAGATTTAGACTCTATAAATACTAGTTATTGTCATTCAATTTATAATGCAAAAATTAAAAAGAAAACCGTCCTCTTGGACTAAACTCCCGTGTGTTAGAATTCGTTAGGATTTTATCATACAATCATGTTAGAACTAAACCGTTATTAACGGGTTTTATCACAAATTATTGCGGCTAAGCGAAGACCGTTGGTGCGCGTTTATTCACAAACCGAATCAAGATACACGATTTTTCAGCACCCCCACATGGAGCTCTAACTTGCACCTAAACTCTAGTCCACACTCTAGCTCTAGCTTACACCTCGAGCTCTAACTCTAGCTCTAGCATACATCTCATGCTCTAGCACTATCTCAATCATCGATATCTAGCTCTATCACACTTTGAGCTCTAGCTCTAGCATACACCTCAAACTCTTAACTCTATCCCATCCCTAAAGCTCTAGCTCTACCACATTTTGAGCTCTAACTCCCATTCCTGGAGCTCACAATCCTAGCTTTCAATAGAACTTTGTTGGCAAGATAAACTGTAAAACGAGAACATAAAGGGCAGCTACTACAATAAGCCCATAAATCAGCAAACTCTGTCACCAACACTATGGATGTTATGGGCAGTTAGTTAAGTCTGAGAAAGTATTTTATCTTTAAGAGATGTTTTCCAGACGTGTCTCTGCCTGGCACCTGTACCTTTGCAACTTGATTTGGAAGATACCTTTGTACTCTGGACGAGATCTCGATCTTAACCTTCCCGCATACTGTGCACAATTCATGCCTAGAATTATTCACTAGTATAAATTAATAGCACGACCATTTCAGAACTTGGGCCTTGTATCTTCGAGTCAAACAATTAACTGGGGGCCATAAATCTCACACATCCGCACACCAAAAAATCATGAAAAAACTTGTAAGCTACCAAAAGTATAAAACTGGAGAAAAGAAGCCACACCTGAACTCATAACCACAAGCAGAAAGGCACACCAATTTCAAGTAGCAGCAACGTTTGCATATAACATTATTGAACAACACTCAGTAACAGAGTAGTGTTCATTGGTCTAGTTTAGCATATCCCCAGACAAGGAAGCCATCAACTACAATCCCACATAACAAATATTCAGACAATTTATGAATCATAGGTTCGGAAAAATAGTTGGGACATTTAAGAACTCATGACGGAGCCCGAGTTCCTCCTGCACTCTGCCAGCATGTCCATGTAGAACTGACACTTGCTGATATCGTTTCCATAGCCATTCAAGCACTTGAAAAAAACAAGAAAAAGCATTTTAATGTATCTACAGAATAATAATACTCTGGAAAAACCAAGAAAACTAATAAGCTAGCAAAAACTGTAAGTTTAAGTTAAAACCAGCAAGTGTTATCCTATTTCAACCACAACGCTAGACAGCACAAGAAAATAAGTTCAAACCAACTCACAATACACATCAGCTAGGGGGTTTATTAATTATTATACTTTAGAAAATTTATGACAATCAGCAACAGCTTAACCCACGGACAATAGTTCAAAAATAATTAACCATTGCTATCAGACTACCCATCACAGCGCAAAATCTTAACGAATGCAGACCAAGATTTCAAACAAAATGAATATAGCACATTTCACCCAAAAAACAAGTCTTCCCAAGAAGATATTGAAAATTGAATTATCAAGACAAAAGAGAATATTAAAAAGTGCAGTTTTCCCTTACATCCTGGAATGCCTTAGAGTGCATGTTGCAAGCATCAGATCCAGACATACTGCTTGCAGAAGGTGCTGGAACAGCAGCAGCAGCCTCGGAGGCAACTGTTTCATGTTGAATGGTGCGAGGCCCAAGAACAGCATCCACAGCCCTGTGAGCAACTGCACTTCCAGTACCAAACGCCATACCTATACAAAAATAAAAAGGAAAAAGAAGATCAACACGATAAGTTCCATAGCAAAAGCGATTGAGTAGGTATATATAATAATAACAGAAAATAAACAGATAAAATAGATAAGCAGGTCGATAGCTGAGCTAATTTTCACCTACCCTGGGCTATGGTCGAACCAATGTTTCCGAGCATTGAACCACCAGGAGCACTCTGAACTGGAGCTGGAGGAGGAGCATGGTGAACTGCACAGAAGTTAACGGCAGAATTGTGACAATGCGAGCAATATATGCACACTTGAGAATTAAATTACAGCTACACAGCAAGTGTCAAGATATATCCCAACTACAAGTGGACAAAAACAATATCCAAAAACTAAGGGGTGAAGGTAAGTTCTAGAGAAGCCTTCAAATCCCATCATATAACTATTAAATACTTCCCTTATTGAAAACTGTACCTGGTTGTGGTGGTGGATTACGCGCAGCTGGACGAGGAGCAGGGCGAGCAGATCTTCCTATAAAATTAAACATTAAATTGTGTTAATGCCAAATTGAGAAATCAACATGGGCAAGTCATCTAGCAGAAGACACCAAAGAAGTTAAAACAGCTGAAATAAATATATATATATATATATATATATATATATATATATTTCTGAAACTTGAAGCATCTAAATTTATGATGGAGAAGTATTGGCAGATTTAATATACAAGAATCGAGCAAGTGATAACTTAAGATTCGTTTTCCATGGAGTACAAAGTTATCTATGAAAAACATCCATTACCACCTAAAAACAATGACGAGTCTTTCATATTAGGAAGCACACAGACACACAAACACACAAGTTAAAGTAAATAATTTAAACAGATGGCGGGAAGTACTTCATTTATTCAAGCAAAAGTCATGTAATAAGAAGCATGTCATAGCCTTGTGTTGTGGATGAGAAGTAAAAAACCACACTTGTGCCACATATGCACAAGAAAATATCCATTTGTAGTGTAATATACACCGTCAACTATCAAAAGACATGAGCATATTCAATATTCCAAAAGAATCACCTCTACTCTCTATAAATCCCAAATTCAAAAAAAAAAAAAAAAAAAAAGATTCCTCTGATAATATTGGCATAATTTTTCAAAACAAAATACTGGGTTAGTGTGTTTACGCATTAAAAGCACACCCATCGGCCGATTTAGGGTCACCGCATTCCATTAACCATGGAAAACTATACCAGCTCAACTTTCAAGCAATAAATTTACAAGATTAAGCACAATCAGAAACCATCAATCCGTCTGATAATAGAAAACACAATCCCTAAATCTTCGTAAGTATAAATCACCACAAGAAGTAACAAATCGGAACCCTATCAAGATCGATGGGATGAAATCATGAATACGCGTATGGAATTACAAAGAACGACTTACCACCGGAGCTCCGGCGAGGCATGATTTCTGGTTTTGATGTGATGAAGCGCCGATGAAAACCTAGGAGAGACGGAGATTTATGCAATGCTATTATTTGCGGCTCAGATTTCTGTTCTATATATATATATAGACATGTGAAGAGAAATGGTCAAATGTGATCAGCATCTGGTGAGCCCATGAACTACGTGTCATGATCTGGACGGTGGACCGTTTTGGGGCACAAATTTTAGATTTTTTTATTAATCTATATCTACTAGCTTGTAAATATGCTCAAATATATTGTTATTTAGTTTAAAATTTGTAAATATGCTCAAATATTTTTGTTAATCTATCTATACTTATATAATAAGATATCCTATTTACCAAATTTAGTAGGTTGAAAAGTCAACGTAATTAATGCATTGTTATTTCTATCTACAGTTTTATTTAATTATTTTATTTATTTATCTTATATCCCATAAAATCAATTTAAGAAAAAAAAAATCTCATAACATCTGATAAGTAAAAAAAAGACGTAAAATTTTTACTAAAATAAAAAAGGTTTTATTTATTTGTCTTATTCTATCGATTTTGTCAAAACAAATCAGTGAAGTCAAAATTTATACGTAAAGTCTATCTATAATAGAAAAAAAAAAAAAAAGACATTTTCAAAATTCTTTATCAAATTCCTTCTTTTCCTTATTTAATTCCTTCTTATTATCTAATTGTATGGAAATCTGTTCTGATTTTATTCAATCCTCTAATTGTATTTGTACTATATTCTATAAAATCGGTTTAACAAAAAAAAACCCCATAACATCCGATAAGTAAAAAAAAAATGTACGTAAAATCTTTACTAAAATAAAAAAGACTTTATTTATTATCTAATTTATTATATAATTGTATGGAAATTTATTCTGATTTGGTTCAAACCGATTTCTGTATATTCAGATTCAGATTTTCTAATAAAAATATTAACAACAATATATATCTACTCTACCCATTATAAATTACAAATCTCAAAATATCAAGTCATCATCTTTCTCACTGTCAACCTCATGCGAACAAAAAATATCATCAATCAGTCTTTTATTCAAAACAATGAATCAAGGATTTGGGTTAATCAAACAAGTCAATAGGTCTAATAGACCTATGCTCAAAGTTCGAATTGTGAGAATATTTTTCCAAGACTGGGGCAGTACATACAAATCATATCTCGAATTGATTATGCATGATAAAACTGTAAGCCAAATTATTTGAATTTTTGTTTTAATATCGAAATTTGAAACGTATATTTTAATTTTTTTTATTTTCGTGTATGTATTTAGATATTTTTGTACATGTTTAATGAAATATATTTTCGTTTTTTTAATTATATTTTAATATTTGCAATTTGGCTTATTTATTCTACATATCGTGTATGTATTTAGATATTTACATTATTTATATTTATTTTCGTGTATCGTAAATTTTTTATTGAATATTGCATATTATAGTATAATAATCCCAAATAAATATATCTCGTGCCTCGCACAGGCCACGTACTATATATATCTCGAATATTTTTTTTATTCATTTATATAACTATAAGGTTGGATAAATGACCTTTAAATTGTGCACCCCGTGCGTCGCACGGGCTCTGTACTAGTACTTATATAAAGAGCTATCATATTTACTAAAATTAGTAGCAAAAAATAGGTCAGCATTTAATGCAACCATAAATAGTAGTTTTATTATTTTTCTTATCTTTTCTTTAAAAATCATACAATTTAATGTATAAATACGCTTTAATATAATCATACAATTTAATTTATAAAAATCATACAATTTAATTTTTTTCTTTATAAAAATACGCTTTGTATGTGTATATATATATGTGTGGTACTTTTTGTAATAAATTTGAATAAAATATGTTACTTAAATATCTAAATAATTTAAATTACTTGATAAACAATTTATAAATTTCTATTTCATTAACATATGTAATTTCAATTTAAAATAATTTTAAATATATCGAAATTTATTAGAAAATCGTATCGATCCTACCAGTTCAACCGACTGGTGTTGACGGATTCAACATCAAATATTTTACTCAAGTGAACTATACTGATTATAAACTGGTTCTCGGTCCATCCGGTCTGCCTGTGTCCAACACGGTTTAATTTAAAAACGATGGGCAAATCTTAATAAATTTATTTGTATATTTAATTTGTAACACAATCATAAAATTGTTTTCTCGTGCATCGCATGGGCCACGCACTAGTGATTTTAAAATTTAGCATCACTTAAATGAACGTAAGACTATGTTTGATAAAACTAACCGATAAACTAGCTGATAGCTGCTAAGTTTTTTTTTTCCAAACGATAGAAATTTTATTGATAATCACAATTGTACATCAAGAAACAACCCAAAAGCCGAAAAGACAACTTATAACTTTTCAGTATTTTTTGAGCTTATAGCTTATAGCTTATGACTTATAGCTGAAAAACTAACTTATATGATTAGCGGCAAAATTGCGGCTAATATCATGACTTTTATCGAGATTGCAAATTAATCACAACCTTTTAACTTTTGCATAATATATCACGACCTTCATTTCTTTGCAAAACGATACATGCGCTGCCTCAACTTGTCTGACGTGGCACTCAAAATGCCAACGCACCTGCTGATGTGTATTTAACAGACGATGTTTTTGCATAATTAATCACAACCTTTTAACTTTTGCATAATATATCACACCTTTAAATTTTTTGCAAAATGATACACGTTTCCATCTGTTGCCCCAACTAGTATGACGTGTATTTAACAGATGATTTTTTTTCCATCTCATCCCTGGACGAGATGAGGGGGAAACTTTGGAACCCTTATGGATATATTATGCTAGAGCTGGAGATTTTGGAACACGAAAAGATTCAAACACCGGGTCGTCTCTCAAGGAAGGTTAGTCGAATTACTTTGCACGCGTATTCAATCACACGAAAAGAGAAAACAAATTTGAAACACTCTAATTCAATTGTTTTTTGTTTTGATTATCAACTACAAATTCTAAAAATAAAGCAAGACACACTTCAAATTCTAAATGGAGTTCAAATAATGATTGGTGAGTTAGGGAGTCGGAGATATTCGTTTATGGTTCTCAAGCAATCAATTAGCACGCAACCGCTCGGTTAAGAGATCAAATAACATACTTGTTTAGAGGCTTGTTCTCAATAACTCTTCGTACCGATCAATTATCAAACAATTAACATATAGACAACTTATTAACGAACAAGCCTATTCTAAACGAGCTGAGATCTATCATTTTCTCCCCTTCCGGTTCTATAAATTGATTAACTAGATTAAAATAATGATCAAACATCTAACCCTAGATTCAACACAGCTCGAATAGATTGAACAACAAACATGTACACACGAATCTCAATCGAACCAAAACAAATATCCTCTATCCCTAACGAAGCGATTTAGCCACACATATTGATATCAATCCCAACAAAAGATTCAACATAATAAATCACTTTCATAATCAAATGAAAGGAAATTACTATTAATCCAAGTCGAGAATAAAATCGAATTACAAACCAAATCGTGTTCGTTATGGAGTGCCACAATCTCCAAAACTCGAACCCAAGCAAAATCCAAATAAAACCAAGTGAAAGTTGTTGAGAGAATGAGTTTTGAGATGAAAAAAAAAAGATAAAAGTCTCAATAATCTGTTTTCTCTCCAGCTCTAGCCTAATATATCCTCAAGGGTTCCAAATTCTCCCCCTCATCTCGTCCAGGGATGAGATGAAAAAAAAACATCTCTTAAACCATGTATCGTTTTGCAAAAAAAAATTAAGGGAATGATATATTATGCAAAAGTTAAAAGGTTGTGATTAATTATGCAAAAAAATCGTCTGTTAAATACACATCAGCAGGTGCGTTGGCATTTTGAGTGCCACGTCAGACAAGTTGGGGCAGCGCATGTATCGTTTTGCAAAGAATTGAAGGTCGTGATATATTATGCAAAAGTTAAAGGGTTGTGATTAATTTGCAATCTCGATAAAGGTCATGATATTAGCCGCAATTTTGCCTATGATTAGCTGATAAACTAGTTGGAATAAAAAATTCAACTAGTTTATTTGAAAAACTACCTAAAGAAACTTATCAAATAAGTTCGAGCTTTTAAAAAAGCTCGTCCTACCAAACAAGACTTATTTGAATATAGTGGGCTTATAAGCTAACCAAATAAGCGATAAGCTAGCTTATTTGTCTGCCAAATATAGCATAAGTCGGATCCAATTCAGCCCCTTATTTTTTTTATCATTATACTTTAATTTTGAAACATGTTGACATAATTTTAAAAGAATTGTAATATGTTTTCTTTTTATTATTAAATTTAAATAAATTGGTCGTAAAATCGTTAGAATATAAACACATAATCATACTCATATAAGCCTTGAAAAATTATGAGTTGCATCTTTTGATCTCCGACTTGTTCACATTTTTAGAAACACCATGAACTGAATAATAGTCATGAGGATTCAAAGTAGATCATAAGCACTTCTACATATCAACAACAATAGAGAAGCACGAAAACACTATTCTCAAATATAATACTCATGCACTTTCTCCACATAACTTTTATCCTAAAAACTATCATAAAGACAGTACACTGTGCAAAAGCAAAAGAATAGAAAAGTTGAATTATAGAATCCTTCGAGGGAAAATGAGAGAAATGTTCCTGTAAGTTTACGCCTTTTTGTGTTGGTCCTCTTCAATTTAGCTTTTATTTTTTGGCCCGATAACTTCAAAAATTGCTACATCTCGTCCTTATCTGGTCCAGCGGGCCAATTTTACCGTTGAATCCTACGTGGACCCGAAGCTTGAAAAATAAATAATATTAGCCGACGTGGCGAACGTTATACCTCATAAAGTAAGTGAAGCGCAAAGAGCTAAGACTTAGTTTCCCTAAATTCTTCCAATTGATCTAATTGCCTGAATTTAAGAGGGAAAATTGCTATCATTTCCTCCACCATGAATAGCACTAAAATTACATGAAA